ATATATATATATAGAGAGAGAGAGAGAGAGAGAGAGAGAAGACGGTAAGCAAATGAGAACCAATCTCCATAATTAGTTTTCAATATGATGGTCATGATTAATAACCATTTTTAATCCCAAAAGGACATTGACGTAACTTTACATTTAGTTTAATCCTGTGATAGTATCCCATAATTATCTCATAAATGTCCAATTATATGTTTCACTTCGTCATCTTCATAACCCATTTTGAAGTCCTATAACTATTAATTTCATTTCTTACCTTCTTCATCAATTTCAGATTATAATCTTCACCGCGTTCCTTATCCTAGCACAATACCAAAGCAATTCAGTTGAAACTCTCTGATATCACATTCAAGATCTTCCGGTTTACTTGTAAAAGACCAATCTGGCATCAAAGTAAAGAACACATAGGATCCGATGTTTGATTTTTTCTTTCAATTCACAATGTGATGCATCTTTTTTTCATGATCTTTGAACATCATCTCACGTTATCTTATTGTTTTATAAAGTTTCAAACTATAAACCACAAGGATGGTGCTTGATTGGTTTGAGCTTGGCTCCAAAGGTCAAAAGTACTTGGAGGTCCAAGGTTCAAATCCAAGAAGGAATAAAAATCCTCTTGTGGTGACGGAGGTTTAAATACGGTGACTTCGGGTTATCTGCAAAGCAAGTGGTTACCCTGAGATTAGTCGGCTCGCATAGCAGGTTGGATATCCAGGTTAATCAAAAAAGAAAAGTTTCAAACTACAACATGAGATGATGTTCATATATTTATATTTGACCATCGCACGTTATCTTATTGTTTTCATACTGTGAAACATGAATGATTTGTCGGTCACAAACAACAATTTGTATTTGTGATTAAACGTATTGTGTTGTTTCACATTAATTAGAGTTTTAACAAATTATGTTGTTACATAATATAAAGCAACACACATATTTTTCATTTCACACGGTGAAAAATACATCCTTTAAAATTGAAATATTGTTTCAAAATGTGAAGCATTAGAGTCTTAGCATATTATGTTGTTTAATAATATGAAACAACAGACGGATTTTTTGTAACACACTTTGAACAATACATCGATTAAAAATAAAGTGGTATCTCATATTATGAAACAATACAACACCAGCATTAAATATAAATAGCGAATTAAACATATACGTTTAAGAAAATATGATGTTATTTCACATTATGAAACAACAAACATATTAAATCCTTTATAATGTTTGATGTGATAATTACAATGTTTATAAAACCTCAACAAATTATAGAGATTTTTTAAATAATTTATTTGATTTAATTTTCTATTGTAATTGAATATTTTAGATTAAAAAAACTTGGTGTTCTGTTTTTGTTTAAAAAGTAAAGATGGATAAAAGCATCTCAAAAGTTACATATAAATATTACAACATTTTTTCTTAAAAATATTAATAAACTTAATATTAATTAAGTGATAAATTTAAGTTTTATTAATATTAAAAAGTCTATTTTTATAATAATAATAACGAATTAAAAATTAACAATAAAAATATAGTTAAAGATGTATTTATTATGTAAAATAATGAAAATATTACATAAAATCCGTTATTTTCCATAGTCATGGATCATAATTAATTAACGGCTAAAATCGGTTTTCACGGTTCTCAATATTTTTATGATTCTCACATGATTTAGGTGGCGTTTGTTTTTTAAGAAGTGCTGAAGTCTGAATTCACTTCTGATTTTTAAGAGGTGATGCTGAAGTCTGAAATCTGAATCAATCAGACTGTTTGTTTTTTGCGTCTGAAATCTGAAGTTTGAAGATGAGAGATCGAGAGTTTATATGAATCGACAGTTAACAAAGTTGAGAGATGAGAGATCGAGACATAAGAGTTGATCCAGAGAAATCKAGCGCAGAGAGATCAGAGTAGGTAGGCAACGATTTGAAATAAGAGGTAATAGTAGGTTTCTCTGAAATTTTCAGACCTAATAAGAGCTTTTAAGCTCTTAATTGGAAAAAAAAAAAAAAAAACAAACACACTGAATCCTCTTATGTGTGACCAATTCAGACTTAAGAGGACATTAAGAGCTTTTTTTTTTAAAAACAAACAGCCCCTTAGCTTCTATGTATATATAATATATTTGGATGTATGTATGTAAATATTGTTTGGATATATATATATATATATATATATATATATATGTGTGTGTGTGTGTGTGTATTACACATACATTGGTATGTATATTGTATTTGTATATATGTATGTGCATGAATTTGGTACTTTTAACCAAACTACACGAGTTCAGTATATCTCATTCGGAGGTTGGATCTGGAGGGGAGTAGGATATAAAAAGACATGTCGTCTTATCCAATGTGTAGAGCGACTATTTTAACCCTTAACCCATGAGGCTTTTAAAGACTAATGTTGCGAGATTCATTGATAGAGTAGGAATTTGAAGGTACAAATTACTTGAATATAGGGCCTCTGGATCAGTATGTTCCCTTCTTGGCATTTGGTTGTTACTTATGAAGCTCTGTGTGGTGATTTACCTCGACCTAGTGGGGAATCTGGTTCACTTGACCCGAATAGGGACGGGGATTCCTCGCTAAACCGGTTCTTGGGGCCGGGATCCCCGGTAGGCTTAAGTCGGGGTTGGGATCAGGTAGCGTATCCCCCAATCTGCCCCATACCCAGTATATAATTTAATTAGTTTATTATATATATATATATATATATATATATATATTATTTATTTTCTAAAATTAGATTTTTAATTTTACAATTGATTTGAGAATTGAGACTCTCTAGACTCTCTACGAAACCACGACCAGTCAACCACTTCTTTATGTAATCACATTCAGCCTTCACTTCAACAGAACAACAAGATCGGGGACCGGGTCTGGAACGGGGAACAGGGGTTTGACCGAGGGTTGACCGAGGTTGACCAAAAAAGAAACCGCGGATGGGATGCTAATCCACTACCCACCGGGGACCGTTAATAGAAACCAGGGTCGGGGCTAGGGCTGGGGATTGTAAAATCCGCCTCATTCCCGCCCTATTGCCATGCCTACATAAGACTCTTCCTTTAGCATCAAATGATGTTGTTTCTTGCGATTATTCTCTATCGTTGTGGCACAAAATACAAAAGGGAATCAGGCTCTTTGGTTTGCATCTAGTTAGAGAATTAGTACCGATCGAAGGAGATTAAGGTAGAGTAAGTTGTTAGAGAAGCTATGTTGTTTTCATTCTCTAAATACCCTTTTTGAGGTTGTCATCCAAGTATGGTACAACCGTTCTAAATTTTGAAATAGAAGTCGTGTTTATATACGTTTTATTTTCAGTTTTGATTTGATTTGATTTGATTATATCTCGATAACAGACAACAATGATATTTTAAAAACCATTCATTAATCAATGATGTCGAGAATCATTTAAACACTGAAACACAAAGTCAAAGTCAACCAATTTTCTTATTGTGCCCATAGAAAGCAAAGCATCTCCCATTGAGGGATTAGGAAGCAAAGCATGTTGGTTTGGTACGTAATGTGGGCAAGGGATTTGGTAAACTTTAAGCAAAAGTTACTAACCCAGAACATATATCTCACCACAAAATTTTCGTCTTTGCCCCTCGTTTTATACAAAATGTTTAGTTTAGCCCCTTGAGTATCTTTCTCATTCTATTTCCGTACGGCAAAAATATAAAAGTATCGATCATTTTAAGCTAAAACTAAACTCATTCAGATTAACATCGTTTATAGCTCTCTAATACATTAATTTTTTGTTCAGTTTTCAACTGATACACACCTTTAATTTTTTGCCAATTTTGATTCTTTATTTTATATGTATGTTTTCAATTAAGAAAGGGTATTGAAGGTGTTATTGAAATATTCGTGTGTGGTACCGCTAATAAAAACTTTTGAGTGTTTTGGATAAACAATTTACACCGATATCAAACCGATAATAAGAAGTTTTTAAAAAAATTAAACCTTTCTGACTTATAATAAATTGATAAATATTTTTATAAAAAACCATAAGTTATTTCAAATAACCAATTTCAAACACCTCTAAGTCGAATATTACCTTAAAAATGTAAAAGAAAAAACTCCCGGTGTTCTCTAATAAAACAGCAATCCATCGAAGGCATTGCATTATTGCCACTGTCTCACAAAAGAACCCCAGTGTTCTCTCACTTACTCCCACTCTGTGCGAGATTACAACCAAAAGATTCGAATTTGTAGCTGCTTGATAAATTCATGATCTTGGTTTTGATTCTTGTCACCGAAAAACCAAATCTTGAAATCAATTTTGAAAATTGAAGATAAGCAAGAATCGTGAGTATGTACGGGAGGGATCCATGGGGTGGGCCGTTGGAGATAAACACCACTGACTCGGCGACGGACGATGATCGGAGCAGGAACCTGAACGAGTTCGATAGGGCGGCATTGTCACGGCCGTTGGATGAGACGCAGCAGAGTTGGCTGTTGGGTCCCGGAGAAGAAAGGAAAAAGAAGTATGTGGATCTTGGTTGTATCAGTGTCAGCCGTAAGATCTTCGTCTGGACGGTTGGATTGATACTCGCAGGTGGTATCATCGCCGGATTAATCGCATTGATCGTCAAGATTGTTCCTAAGCATCACAAACACGCCCCTCCCGCTGATAATTACACTCTTGCACTTGAAAAGGCTCTCATGTTCTTCAATGCCCAGAAATGTAAGTTGATCAGATTTCTTATTTGTAATGAACTTGTCCATATCAATGTTGATGATATATTTGTATGGATTCAATGGTATTCCCTCAGTTCTATAATTTGCATTTGATATTTACAGAATGATTCTCTTCTATCTAAACAAAAAACCATCATTCTTGTTATAGATCTGCAAGGATGATCAATGCAAACAAACCATGATGTTCTTTTCTTTCTTGTTTTGCATTTGCATTCCCACAGTTTGTCCATAATCTTTGATTCTTGTAAACTACATTGTTATGTCTTGGTATTTTCGCAAGAACACTACCATTGATGTTTATGTTAAAATGCATTGAAATTGAAACAGATAAAGAAAATCGAGTTTGAACTGTGTAGATTAATAAACTAGCTTTCATGCAGCTGGAAGACTTCCAAAGCATAATAATGTATCGTGGAGGGGTAGCTCGTGTTTAAATGATGGGAAGTCGGACAAATCTGGGGCGGTGCTAAAAGATCTTGTGGGCGGGTATTATGATGCTGGAGATACGATAAAGTTCCATTTCCCAAAGGCTTTTGCGATGACCATGTTGAGTTGGAGTGTGATTGAATACAGTGCAAAATATGAAGCTGCAGGAGAGCTCAAACATGTTAAAGAGATCATTAAATGGGGCACTGATTACTTTCTCAAGACCTTCAATTCTACTGCTGATACCATAAACCAAGTTGTAGCTCAGGTAGATTTGTTGTCATTTCAAATCTTTCAACTGTTTCTGAATTCTGAATGTGAAGAGTCCCGTGTTGGCTAGATTTTGACTTTTCTACTTTACTAAAATGTTGGAACCCCCTTTTCTCCTCAAGGATCTTTTGGAGAATAATCTGATGGGTTTCACATATTCTAGCATAGTATCAGAGCCAAGTCTACCTTTGGGACATTTGTGCCGTTTAGCCTATGTTGGAGGGGGCCTTTCTACTTGAATATACGTTGGGACCCCCCCCCCCTATCTCCTCAGGACCCTTTTGGAGTATAATCTGATGGGGTTTCACATATTCTAATATGGTATAAGAGCCAAAGTCTACCTTTGGGACATCTGTACCCGTTTAGCCTATGCTGGAGGGGGCCTTTCTACTAAAATGTATCTTAAGTGCTCTTTTGGAAAGTTAATCTAATGGAGTTCCACATATCCAACATTGAGAATGTACTAAATTTTCCCTTTTGGCTGGCAGGTTGGGAAAGGTGATACATCAGGGGGGACAAGTGATCCTAACGATCATACTTGTTGGATGCGGCCAGAGGACATTGATTACCCACGGCCCGTGACTGAATGCTCCAGTTGCTCCGACCTTGCTGCAGAGTTGGCCGCTGCTCTAGCGTCTGCATCCATTGTTTTCAAGGACAATAAGCTCTACTCAAAGAAACTTGTGCATGGTGCTGCAACTCTTTGGAAGTTTGCTAGGGATCAGCGTGGTTCTTATTCTGCTGCTGGTGCAGATGCTGCAACGTTCTACAATTCCAGTATGTATTGGGATGAGTTTGTTTGGGGTGGAGCTTGGATGTATTACGCAACTGGCAATCAATCCTATCTTTACCTTGCTAGCCACCCCAAACTCGCTAAGCATGCTGGTGCTTTTTGGGGAGGACCCGATTATGGTGTTCTTAGTTGGGATAACAAGCTTACTGGAGCTCAAGTAAGTTGGTCAACTTTATATGAATCAAGTTGCCAGTGTAGATTGTGTAGATTAATCTGTCTGTATAGACCGGGAAGGTTTTTGTTTGTGAGGGTTTTCTCATTGATGGAATGAGCGTGTTTTTTAATTGGAAGGGACAGGTTTGGAAAAACTTGGTTTCTGCACAAAGCTCCCCCCTAGAAGCTCACTGAATAAGCCACTTTCTATACCATTTAAGCCACTACCAAGCAGTGACGTATAGCTGACCAAATAAGTTGTGAATCCTATTAAGCTCCTTAAGCTGCTAACAAACAGACCCTAATTTTGATACAACTACTTTTCTAAACGTCTAAGTGCATTGTTTTGTTAATACAATTGCTCAAAATCAATAAGATCAATCCATCCGTGCTTACTTTTTGAATGCTTAATTCAACGATTAGTTGCCAAGTGTTTCACATGTTAATACGATTAGTTGCCAAGTATATCCCGCTCGAAAGCAGGGTTTGAGAGGATGAGATATACACAGATTTCACATGTTTCAACATAATGGTCAAATAACTTTGTTTCAACATGTTTCTGATCCACTTCTGTCATTGGGTTTTGAGGTACCCACATGAAACATTGCATATTTGGTTTGTTGATGTTGGCAATTCATTAAATTTCTTGATCTCCATGCTGTTCATCAAGAAGATTACTTTGATATGGTGAGTATTAATAATGTTATTCTTTCTTTAGGTACTTCTGACTAGATTGAGATTGTTTCTGAGCCCTGGTTATCCATACGAAGAAACCTTGAAGACGTTTCACAACCAAACAAGCATAATCATGTGTTCTTACCTTCCATACTTCAGCAGTTTTAACAGAACAAGAGGTAAACTCGTTGATTATACCTTCTTTTCCATTTGAACGCATAACGTAACTCATCTTCCATTGCAGGAGGCTTGATTCAATTAAACCATGGGAGACCGCAGCCTCTTCAGTATGTGGTCAATGCTGCCTTCTTAGCTACCCTCTATAGCGACTATCTTGATGCTGCCGATACTCCTGGATGGTACTGTGGGCCCAATTTCTACTCGACCAATGAGCTACGTAAATTTGCACAAACTCAGGTAAAACCACTTTTCAGTTTTGTCTCAACCCCCCGTTCATACATAGAGTTGTGAGACATACCGGGTTCGTTTGGTTTTGGTTTCCTTCATATATTGAGGTGAGATGGTTGATGGCCTAAAGTGAGAACCATGCAACATTTCACTTTGGTGGGCTAAACTTGTTTGTTAGATTATGTGTAACCATGCATTTTTATATGGAAGTGGCATTCTCAAACGTGTCAGAAGATCATGGATTTAAAATAATTGTGAGATCATTTCAAAACGTGTATGTTGGATCTTGCAGATTGACTATATCCTTGGGAAGAACCCGAGAAAGATGAGTTATGTTGTGGGTTTCGGCGATCACTACCCAAAGCACGTGCACCATAGAGGTGCATCGATCCCCAAGAACAAAGTGAAATATAACTGTAAAGGAGGATATAAATGGAGGGACTCCAAGAAACCGAACCCCCACACAATCATTGGGGCAATGGTTGCAGGGCCAGACAAAAACGATGGTTTCCATGATGTACGTACAAACTACAATTACACAGAGCCAACTATTGCAGGCAATGCTGGTTTAGTTGCGGCCCTGGTGGCCCTCTCGGGTGACAGAACAACTAAGATCGATAAAAACACTATTTTTTCGGCAGTGCCGCCAATGTTTCCAACTCCACCACCACCACCCGCTCCCTGGAAACCTTGAGATTTTGGATGGATTATATAGTTTTTCTGGGAGACAACAGTTCGGAAAGATTTCGATACTTGCTGGTGATTCTTTTTATGCTAACAAGCAGAAAGGTAAATGATTGATGGAAGAAGAAGCTCTGGAGGCAATTGGAATGGGACCTGTGATTATATTATATATACATCATCTATACGTACATTCCGTATGTAAACCAAAACAATTGATATATTTTTTGAACCGCTTAATGAAATTCTTTCCGTTTTTGCTTTATATTCACATGTTCTTCCCGACCAGTAAGTATGCATATGTAGATCCCGTGGGTTTGAAAAAAGACGAGAAAGTCATTGTGTCCTCATTGTACCGGTCGATGATCGTTTCTAAAAACACCCATCTGCCTGCCCTTGGACACGATTTACGAACCAAATCTCTTTAGAAAGATCTTGTCTCTTTCGATTCCATACATATTTCATATTTGTTCCCGGAAAAAAATCATTGGCTTATCAAATTATCTATCGAGCCGTGAAAGATATCCTTTAACCAGAAAGAATTCCGGGCATGAAACTTGTACGGTAGGGATGCTCCAGAAGGTGGCGTCATACCCTTTTTTTTGTAAAAAGGGACACGAGTCAATACTTATACGCTTCTAGTTCAATAATGGAATCAACTATTGTTTCGCCTTTTCTATAGATGATCCAGAACCGAAAAAGATTGATGCCAAGTAACATACAGAAGTTCATTTGTGAATCAATGTATAGCGCATATTTTCATGCGAAAGTACAAGAAATAGCAATCCACATCATAGGTTATATTCGATTCGAACAAATCATGGTATCAAAAATGCCGCTAACTATAGCTATCTAAAGACCTTACCTTCAGCTCCTGTAGCATCCAACGCGCATGCCATTCTCGTTTAATTTCAGTTGTCCGACCGTAATCTGGCAGCCCTCATACCTCTTTAAACGGAGCAACGATGGCTAAAACAGATGTATGAACGTGTAGGCTCTAAATAGGAAGATATGACCCAACTAATAGTCTCGTTTCGTGGGACATTCTGATGCCCTATGCCCAGATCGTCCGCAGTTGAAACAGGCACCCTCGAAGTTCCTATCATTCCACAAAATTATTAAATCTTAGTATTTCTGTCAAGTATCAAAGTAAACGCAGTACTTCACATAAATCAAACAAAATGGACCCATTAAGCCCAAAATTAACAGAAACAAGCAAACAAGCTACAGGTGAAAGTGTATGCAAACGAGCAATGGATACACTCGACAGAGAAAGCATCAGGGATATATGTGATGAAAATAGGTTAAACAAACAAGAAAAGATTTAGTACCTGTCCCTAGTCCGAGAAGAGCTCCTAGTCCCGAAGGACGGAGAGCGTGAAGATCGTCTTTCACCAATTAGCCAATCACTTCCACCAGTTCTCGCACCTCCTCTGGACCAACTACTGCCGCCACTACCTCCACCCCCCCTACCAGCTCGCTTGAAGCTATCACCATCATCATCCGATGAATATCGACTGCCACCACCCCAACCACCACGGGAACCACTGGAACCTCCCCTCCTTGAACCTGCTCCTCGGGAACTTCTCTCCCTGTTAGAAAACCTACCATAGAAGTCACTTGCTGGACCATCATCTTGCAATAAAGGCAACTGCAAATGGTACCCAATAGGAATCAGCAATGCAATTAATCAAAAAACAGGGATTGTAATGTCTGCAAAACGAAATTGAGTCCACCTTCGTGATTTTTGTAATAGTATTGCCAGGTGGCACGTCCTTAGTTAGTAGCTCCTTGGCAATCTCTTCGGGAAGATCAAAAACTGCTCCCTGGACCTGAATACATAAATAGATGTTACAAAAAGAAGCTGTAGTAAAGGGACATCAGCTCACTTGGATACACACCCTTTCATCCGCAATTATATGTATTTTGCCGAGTTCATCAGCAGCCGTTGCATAAACGTCAGCCAAGAATCCAGTAACGGTTCTAGCTGACATGAACCCTCTCGATAGAGCAGGGTCCCGAGTCAGTTGCAACGTAGACCATCCCTGCAATGCAATCATTCACAATTACCCACCAGAAAATAAAGGAACAAAACAAAGATATAGATGTAGATACACTCATAATAATACATCTAACTCACCTGCTCGTGTGTGATAAGAGAACGGGATGATGGAGGCTTTGAGAAACCGCTCAACTGTGCAAGGGCAGCAGCAAGAGCGCTTGCACCCTGCTCCTCGATTAGCTTTTCTGCAGTTGGAGTGAAGAACTCCACGGACTCCCTATGAACACCAGAGAGGGTAGCAACAACTTGCTGAGCCGAAGACTCCAATACATCTTCCACTGCTGGAGGACTTATAAACTCAAATTTGCATCCCACATCACACTCAAGGGATTTAACCGTTCTCCTCTGATTATTTGTGAACATCAAAATGGCCGACCCTTCCTTTCCTGCACGTCCAGTTCTACCAGATCGGTGCACAAAAGTCTCTGGATCATTCGGCAGTTCATAGTGGATAACCTGAAAAACGAGAAGGAAAGCCACACATGTCACAGTTGCATCAGGAAAGGTCATAAAACCGAATGAAGTCATAATGCTAAAAGAAACTTACTAAATCGACATTGGGTATATCAAGCCCACGTGACGCAACATCAGTAGCAACAAGCACAGTAAACTTTCCTTGTCTGAATCCATTCAAGGTTCTTTCCCTTTGATGTTGAGATATGTCACCATGCAATGCCTCTGAAGCAATGCTATTAGTCAATGCCAACGAAACCTCATCTGCATCTCTTTTTGTCTGAGTGAAAACAATGGTCTTCCCACCCTTTGCGTATACCTAAAATCATCACAAGATTATAACTGTCAGAGTTAAACCAAACCAACCTAACCTAGCATATCCCATGCAAAAGTAGAGTTTCTGGGCATTCTTATGTTAAGCAGAAGGTCATTTAACCAAAGGACACTATCTACCCGAAAGAGGAGTGATTGTTTTCATGAAGACTCGGCTTGTGCAAAGGTGGGAGCAAAAAAGAAAAAAAAAAGGAATTAAAACTAAACAATTCAAGATTTGACCTCCGATCCACATAAACATGAAACTATAATTAAGTCGCTTACCGTGACAAGATCACCAAGTATTGTCCGCTTTGAAGTTGAGGTTGTTGGTATAGCATACAGCTTGATACCCTCTGCTAGCTTCTCATCTTGATCACCAACCTTTTTAAGTTCAATGAAACAATTTACAGCTACTTTGTCAAAGAACAATAAAGAAAGCATTGAATGCGAGCACATATACATGAGAACACTTAAGGTATACAGACATGATAATACCCTCTTCACAAAAACAAATTGAAGCATTAAATAAGGAGACATTTGAAAACATTATATAGCACTCCATCTCAAAATAAATGTCCACAATGAAAAAGACACGTAGTTTTAGAAATGTGTAATTATTACACTTTTTAATCAACCAAATGACAATATTACTCTTAACAATGAATTTCATGATCTCATAAATAAGGGTAGAATTGGAATGCAGACACTTACTTTTGACTTTTCAAAGTGGACATTTATTTTGAGACAAACTAAAATAGAAATGTGAACACTTATTTTAGGATGGAAGGAGTATTATACAAACCAAGAACACAAAAAACTTACCAAATCAATTGTCAAAGGATTGTTCAAATATTTCCTCGATAATTTCTTGACCCAACTAGGCATAGTTGCTGAGAAAAGCATGCTTTGCCTCTCTGATGGAAGCTTCTCTAAGATATGTTCCACATCTTCCTCAAAACCAACAGCAAGCATTTGATCAGCTTCATCAAGGACCAAAAACTGAACCTCCCCCAGTTTCAGGCTGTTACTTCCAATAAGATCAATAAGTCTTCCTGGCGTGCCAACCACTACATCAACTCCACGAGATAACGCATTTTGCTGTGAATTATAAGAGACACCACCATAGACACAAACAGTGCTCAAATATGGGGCAGACTCTTTGATCTCTGTTTCTACTTGCCGTGCCAATTCCCTTGTAGGTGCAAGGACCAAGACTCTGGGAAGTCGTTGAGCACGCCTTTACATAAAAGATGCATAGAAAACCCCCGTCAGAACCAACATTATAATTTGTAAAATATTATAAAAAAGAACATGTTTCATGAATACCTGGGAGAAATTCTTTCTTCATCATCTTCTGTGAGTCTTTTGATTATAGGAATTCCAAAAGCTAATGTCTTCCCTGTTCCAGTTTTGGCACGGGCAATAATATCTCTACCTTCTAGTGCAGGGATCAATACAGCTCTCTACATGATTGAGACAAAAGCAAGTTAACACCACTATCGACTTGATGGAGATGCATATAGAAATCTATAAACATTCTGAGTCTCTCTCTCTCTCTCTCTCTGTGATAGAAGAGAGAGTGAGGGAGGGAGATGCTGTTTGTCTGAAATAAAGAGTACATAAGAAGATAAAGATCGGTGTTATATCACAAGCAGCAGAGACACAAACTACATATATACTTTAGAAGCTAAAGCAGAAACTGAATATGATACAGGGGGAGAGAATCTTATACAAACATGATGGCAAAATTAACATCACAACCAGGGAATATGGACTTGTTACATTTTTGGACAACAAAAACAATGTGAAACCAAGTACAAGCACCAAAGACAATATACGCTTGAATGGTAACGAAGATAAGCACTCAAGACCTACCGAGATAGATATATATATATATATATATATATATATGTATATGTATATAAGTTTTGGCTGGACATGTTTAAAAAGAATGAAAATATAATAAGAAATTCCGTTTATACATCATTTCTCTGATATATCAGCACATAACTTCAGGTTTAGAGTTGTTAAACTTGCATCAAAAACCCTCACTTGAACACTCCAAACCAACTAAAACTATTGATTCTTTTCTATCAGATTTCTGACTAAAGGTACTTTTGGGATGGCTTAGACCTAACCATTGAATTGCATAAAGGAAATGAAATTGGGTTAAAGTTAAAACTCTTACAACACATGCATATACTCATACATCAAATGTATACATGTTAGCATTTACAGATAAGTGATAAGGTTAAATGATTGAAGTATCACCATTTACACACACACACACACACACACATATATATATATATAGAGAGAGAGAGAGGAGGAGGAGGAGGAATGGAGAAAGTACTTGGATTGGAAACAGCCTAGTAATTTCTCTTTTTTCTAGAATCTGAACCAGCTTT